ATTTTCACCCGATCGCGAAGTAAGGAAAGTCGTGTAAAGTACCTTTCCAAAGGGTACAACGTCGGGGCGGAATGTCGGACGACTCGGACCATTACCATCTCGGCCCAGACAACTCGGCCCATCTACCTGGTCAACTCGGCCCATTTCCCTGGTCAACTCGGCCCATTTCCCTGGTCAACTCGGCCCCTTTCCCTGGTCAACTCGGCCCAATACCGGAGACAGTAATTTAGGCAGAAACACACGCACACACGAGGTCAATTTTCTAACAAATATCATCGAACTTTAATAAGAAGTTCATTCAACTTATCCAACTGCACTTTTCTTTCTTTTTCCACAGGTGTAAGGAACGTATAACGAATAGAACTGGCGCTACTCCTTAGTCAACAAACAAAGGCTTGCATACTATTTCAACCAAAGTACTAGTACTAGTCTAGTAATCGGTAAAAAACAGTCGTTCGCATGGATATCGGCATCATCGGAAACGAAGTACTAACATCACAGTAACAATGTGTTACAGAACAAAATTATGAATCCGTCTGGTACTAGTATCGTGTCGGCACATCGAGGGACCAAAACATCGAAATAACTAAAATCTAAAATTATGTTTACAGGATCTGAACAATTCTTACTACTTACTAAGATTATTCTTATGTCCTCTTGCACACATACATGCAGTAAAACTAACATAATGGTCCCATGGTTTGTTCCCGTGTCTTCTTGCACACGGCAAAAAAATATTTTACTTTACGGCCCTGACTTACGGATGGCTCCATACTAACGCACAAATAATTTAACGCAACTGTTACATACAAAGATATATGCTGCACTAGGAACAAAGCAAACATATAGTTGGCCAAACTATCTACTTATTTACAAATACACACATGGTTGTCCAAACTATCTACCTCTTTACAAGTACTGAGCAGTAAGTATCGTCAGAGGCTGAGAAGAACAAAGAGCAAACATGGCGTCGCTGTCGGAAGCAAGCTATCCCATCGGCCAGTGCGGTAAGTACGAAAAGGCGGGAATTTTGAATGCATTTTGTTGCACGTCATCATCAGTCGGTAACTTTGAATGAATATTTCTTTACATCAGAAATAGTCCTTGTTTTACTTATTCGTGGCGCTCGTAAGTGTTCAGTCTGACGTGTCGGATGGTTGGACCGTAGAAACGGGAACATGCAGCCAGCAGGTTCTTCGCTGTGTAGCGGCCGCTCTCAAAGTCCGCCCACGCCTTAAAGATGCGGCCCTGCAGATTCACGTACTTCCTCCTCTGGTGTCGGCGGAGCCGCCCCTCGCACACCATCCGTACCTGGGTCTTCACGATCTTGCTCTCCTGGTACAGCAGGTCGACAAGCAAGTAGAATGGCAACTTACTCTTCCTCGCCTTCTGGTTCAGTCTCCTATGCCATCCCTCCACGTCGTTGTTGGTCCTGACCGATTGCATGTACACGGACCAACGACGTGGAGTCCAGATCCTTCCGTTGACCCAGGTACGCTGGACGTAGTCCGCCAGGGTGGTCAGGGCACCTGCTGACTTCCTCCTCAGCTCTTCTAGTGCTGGTGGAATGGCGGCCGCTGGCAAGAAGGGGAGTCCCATGACCCGTCTCACCCATGAGTGTACACGCTGGTCCTCCCGGTATGCCGTCTGTAGTCCATACTCCTGTACCTTCCTCCAGACCGCCTGGCACCAATGGAATGCGCACCCTTTCAGTCGTGCACCAGGAAACACGGATGCAAACGCCTGCCAAGCAGGTGCTTCAAAGTCCATCACGCATTCTTGCAGTTCGATGTCAGCCGGCAGTGCATTTTGCAGTTCTAGGAGTACGGATCGGTAGTCAATCTCGCGTTTGCTGGACATGAAGGCGTACGCGAGGGGAACTTGCTTGATGACGTCTCCACTTCTGACGAACGCGTGCACCGAGAACAATTGGTAGAAAAGGGGCACGCACAACCTTGAAGGTAGAGTCAATATACCAACGACGGGCTTGTGCGAGGAGGCGAAGCTGGTACGGGGTTGCAAACAGGATGTGTCTTGCTGACGTTGTTGCGGTCGACACGTCGATGTCCCGAACCAGGAAATCTTCCTGGATGTATTCTTCATCAAGTTCAAAGTCCAAATCTTGGGGTTCGGCCGGACGATGCTTGGACTTAGCACGGTTGACACGTCGAATCAGGGCGGCGTGACTCGGCAAGCCCGGATTGTCTGCATTGGCTTCCATCACCTCATCCACGAGATTAGATGCAGGTTCGAAGATCTGTTGTTGGGCCTTCTCTCTTATCTCCGACGTGATTTTGGCGCGGATCTCTGCGTCTTGGTGTGCTGGATGGAGGTGATCTGGCAGGCCTGGTTGGAACACATCTCCTGTCTGCACTACCGTTGCAGGACAGACGACGTTCTTGTTGCGAACGGCGCATCGCCAATGGATCGTTGTCTGCGTTTCCCGCTTGAAGGTGTAGCTGTAGCTATCACTGCTGATTAGCTTGCCCTTGCCCCTTTGTGACGCTCCGGGAACTATGATGAAGGTTGTAACCGGCGTGTCGTATGTGACCTGTGGATCTTCTACAAATGTCTCGTCGTCCGGATGCTGCTGAGATAGTTCATGTATGTCCTCGACATCTGACACGGTCTCGTGGCTAAAGTCTGACATACACTCGTCTTCGTCGGGTTCGTCAAGCTCGTCGGGTTCGTCAAGCTCGGGCTCGGGTTCGTCAAGCTCGGGCTCGGGTTCGTCAAGCTCTTCACGCTCCAGGCTGGGCTGCGCGCTTTCGTCAGTCTCCAAACTCAGACGCGTGCTTTCGGCTGCAGGTGGCACATCCATGTCCATGGAAGGGGCTTCTTCCCTGGAGGGCTGAGAGCACTGGATGCATTTCCAGGCTCCCAATTCTTGATCAGCCTCCCCCTGGGCCATTCGTCTGTAGAGATCCCTAGTGATCCCTATAACAAACAAAAAAATAATTAATAACTTGCAGACGCACGAAAAAGTGTTTGGTACCCCTGTCATCAGATGAATTTTATACAACAACAATACTATTTTTGAAATTACATAACAGAACTAAAGAGAGGGGACAAACTTCTTTGAAAATTGTTACATGTGTTACACTTATGTAATCTCCTCAAACACTACACATTTCATTTATGTACAACCATTATCAACGTGGCTTTTGTCATATGGCCATCTGGCATATCAATCTAAAGACCGTGGACTAGCAACATACATGTATTATGACTTTGAGGTTTTTTGAAGTCTCAAACCATGTATAACATGCAAAATGTATAACATGTACCATGTATAACATGCAAAATGTTAAATCCTATCACTTGACATAATACATATTGTTAACTCCAATTTCATTTCATGCTTTTGGGTAATAACTTATCTGAATTATTTGGACAATGTTTGTATTGAGATAACATGCTTGAAAGATTTGTACAGAATCAAACTGCAACAATTTTCAAAAATTTTTACTTTTAAGAAAAGTCTAGAAAAATTGTGCCATGGCTTATATTCATTCAAAATTCTCACTAAAATTGACATGGAATCTAGTATCTCTTAAAAATTAAAAAAAAACGGATTAAGCAATCAAAATTAACTGGTATCTATCATACTTTACATTGATTAAATGTAAGTTAAACAGAAGGATTCTCTTACCTGTCTGACAAGTACGGTGCTGCCACTGATCGCATTCGCATTGCAATGCCTCCTGTCTCGGTCGAATCGTTTTCCTGCATGCTACACAAGTTACCATGGCTGTCGCTCTCCGGTACACTAAATGACTGGACTTTCTTGGATCCCGTTATATGGCCAAGCAATTCAATAGTTCTGTTGTCTAACAAAAAGATTCGCGGTCTCTGTTAAAGTCATGGTGATTGCCCAAGCCGGCGGTTTGTGACTTCACAAAGCCTCAAAGTCTACAGTTCGAAGTTGTCTAACAAAAAGACGCGGTACGTCGATGAAGGTTAGACATCCAGGTAATACGATATGCCAAAAACAGTTACTCAAGCAACTGGATATGATTTTGAAAACGTCAGACGTTTCAGCTAGTATCCACTAGCTTTCGTCAGTGACTGAGAGACCAGAGGGGAAAGCAGGTTTATATACATTGCCGACCTAAGCAGGTTTATATACATTGCCGACCTAGTGCCAACGGCTACTCCTCAGCTATTTTCCACCACCTACAACACAACCAGGGTCACTCTTTCAAACTCGAGTCCACGGATGTCTTAGACCGCGAAACACGCTGGTGGGAACGGGGTATTAAAGAGGCAATATATGAAAGAATGTACAACCCCACCCTCAACAGGGAAGGGGGGCTACGGGTCGATCTTTCCGGCACTTGATATTTGGCACTCCCAGCCCCGAGGACAGACAACACTTAAGCTCCTGTCCTGTATAACAGGAGCTTTCAGACTAATTTGCATCCTCTTGTCTTGACTTGTCTGACTTTTGTTCCTTTTTCGACTTCCAAAAATTTGTCTTCACTTTATTTGCATATCAATCAACAGGTTGTGTATATAAACCTAGCTTCCCTCTGTCTCTCAGTCACTGACGAAAGCTAGTGGATACTAGCTG